ATGATGGGACTGAATGAGGACATTGTGACATTGATAAGGAGATCGAGATTGCGGTGGTATGGACATGTGTTGAGAAGGGATGAAAGGGTCGGGATTAGGCGAGCGTTGGAGTTCGAGGTTGAAGGAGTGGTAGGAAGGGGTCGTCCGCGATTGGGATGGAGAGAGCAGGTGGAGAAGGACAGGGTGAAAGCGGGGTTGCGTGATACTGAGGCGAGTGACAGATGTGGATGGAGTCGAGGGGTATTTCGGTTTCATCATAGGTAGCCAAACGGCAACCCCCGATCTCGGGGAAAATGCCGTCTAAACGTGTGTTGTTGTTGTTGTCATGTCTATTGTCTATAACGATATTTTGACAAGTGTTAGAATCTTATAAATAGAAAACAATTTATACAGGATACATTTGCTCAAAATAATTTGAGAATCGTAATTCTCTTAAAAGTTCTTCTTAGGGTACAGTGTTAAATATATCAGAACATTCGAAATCAACGAAACATGTGTTACGCATTTATTTAGATGTGTGTAAATTTATTAAGAAGTTTAAAAATAGAGAAATATTTACAAGTATAATTAAAGTTAATTATTTGTTTCAAAATTGTCAAAAATCTGTAGCGCTGAAAGATGGAATCAGATTTAGATTTGAATCATACGAGTTCTTCATATGTTGAAGCTCTGGATGAGTTCAGAAAAGTCGGAGGTTACAGTCGCGATCTAACTTAAGTTTAAATTTTTTTCTCCTGAATATGTTTTTGAAGTGAAAATATTTTAATTCCAAATTTCACAAAAATTTTCAGATGTCTACCAGGTATACAACAAAATGTACGACCAAGTGAAGAATTTGGATCACGTTACTCACGTCATTGCCATTGGAGCCGGACCAGCCATTGACGAAATAGCTTTCATGAAGAAGTTCATACAGATTCTACTATTGAATTATTGTTTAACATTTAAAATTCGCATAAAACCTATTTGATTTTATTTGAATATTATTTAGCCTAGAAGAGAACCTCTAATTTTGAAACGCGAAGAGTATGCCTTCATTTTGATTAAACTGTTTTTTTTTTAATAATTTAGAATGTTGTCCACATACTTTATTTTTTTGAAGAATATTTTATAACATTTAAAAAACTGTAATAAATTGTTTTTAGAAATATTGATAAATTCGATTATTTTTAACAAATTAACACACCGCATCACGTGGCAGGTTAACCCCATATTTGTCCAGGTTCACAGCTGTCGACATGAATGAATGGTGCATGGAGGAGTTGAGACAGAGTGTGAAGAAATACCTTCCTAGCGACGTGATACTGGATGTGCACTTAACCAAACTGCAGGATTGGCAGGGACCAAGCGAGGCGGCTGATCTGGTCTTCATGTTCCATTCATTGTATTACTTCAATGATGACGAAAGGAAGGTACGCTCTAATGTATTTTAGTTTTGTTTTTGCGTCTGAATATTTTTTTCTCATAAGAAGCAGAGGTTCCCTTGAATGTTTGTATTTTTCATGTTTTAAATTGTTAGAAACAATATTTTTTTTCCTTGTAAGTTTTTAAACATTTGTGAATTTTTGCAAGAAAAAACAATGATGTTGTATAAAAACTCAGAACATATATGAAGCATGCTTCAAAAAGTGGCTGAAACCAAACGGAAAACTGTTTGTGAAAATCATTAAAGACCTTCACGAAGGTGTGCTTGATAATTGCAATTTTATATTTTATAACTTTATTTTTTTTTCAATTTTACTAAATATTTTTGTTTTGTTTGTTTCCAAATTATTCGTAACTTTTTTACTCTTTTCGACAGCTAAAGCACCTCACTACCTGAACGATATATACCGTGAAACCGGCAGAAAATTGTTAACAGAGGCATTCACCATAAAGCAGGAGTTACAGAACCTGGGCTACAAAATTGACGAAGAATTAGAGTACATTTACTACCAGGACTTGAGTATTCTAAATAATTCCGTCGTGTCTTTTATAAAGTTGGAGGCGAAACCGTCCTTTGATGACGATGAAACAGTTAGAAATGTCTTGAAGAAGTTGCATGCAGAGGGTAACAAGGGGTATAGTAGCGGTGCCCTCTTCAGTGTTGTCAACGAAAAATTTTGAATATTTATCTGTTCGTTAGAGTAATGGTTTTATCACGTGTCCTTAGCAATTTTTTAGTCAAATTATATAAGCTACTACTTTCGTAAATCATTGGAAGATGAGAAGTTTTTCAAAAGTCACCTCTCACCATTAGAAAATGTTTCTGTTGAGTATCAACTCAATGAAATTTGCAAATATTACTTTTTGAAATTACTGAAGTTATTGTTGAATAAATTAAAAAACATGATAGTTTGATTTGAATTTTTTGATTTTTTTTAACCATATAAAGTCATTCTAAATAAAACTGAAAATTAAAAAATTAAACCGGAATTTCAGTTTCAAAAAGAGGAAAACACCGAATAAAATGCATTTTAATATTTTTCAATAACGCTGAACATGGTTCCGCTAGCGTATCCTTTATTTCCCCTTTTAATTAACTTCATGATTGCCTTCTTTGGAACTTCTTCATTTTCGTAAGGAGGATTTGCATGAATCATCACAAAAGGTACAGCATGATCGTAACCGGCTTGCAGGTCCTGATAGTATTGGTAATGGAAGGAGCGGTCAATAGTGCAGCCTAGTTTTAAGAGTTCCTTCTTGACGATGTATGATTCAATTAGAGGCACCCTTCCTGTCTCTCTGAAGATATCGTTTAGGTAGTACGGAGTTGGAGCTAGTTAAACAGCATGAATGAAAAATGATATCCCATGAATTCTAAAATCAGCTAAGAATAATTGTACATATTTTGTTTCCATTTTAGAATTGTAAGAGGAAAAAGTTGTCAGAATTATAGTATCATCATATTTTTCCGATGTTTTTATCAAAAGCTTACTGTCAAACTTGTCTTTGTTCATCAGAATGAATAATTTTCCGTTAGGTTTCAGCCACTTGTTAAAACAGTTCTCAAAAATTACCTGCGTAAGCGAATTATGTAACATCTTTATTAGATCTGCGCAATCCTATTCACATCGCACACTTTTAAAATACTAGATAGTGAAAGGTCCAAAATTTTTATTCCTAAGTCGCTAAAAATAGTATTCCCTTGCTAAACCTCAAGACTTTGAATTTTTTTAATTTCCAGCAAATTGTCAATATCCAAACGTTTTTTTTTAAACAATCAACGTTATTATTGATATACTAATGATAAATCGATTATGAATTCAAATAGTTTATAGTACATATCCTAATTAACTTAACATTTTAAACGGTTCGCTAAATTTCAGAATTTTGTAACACACAAAAGTTAAAGGTCTATTACAGTCTTCTTACTAGATATAGAGGAACCAACAACAGGCGGGCAGCGTATATGGATACAAGAAGCACATGACAGGAGTGGACCTTTATGTTATACCCGGTTACTGCACGCACTGCGAAACAGATCCAGGCGACTTTATAACCACTAACTAGGCTATCACGCCGCCAAAATGCTTAGCTGGGTAAAAATAAAAACATATAACATCTGCAATAACGGATCCAGAATTTGCGGTTGAGCATGATTTAAAAATTGTAAAGTAGGTGATCTTTAAAATTTTCTAGTTAATGACTTTTTTTACTAATTCCCGTTTGATTTATTACTAATTTATACAATGAATCTTCAATCATGTCTTCATTCATGCCATTCAATATCCCTTATTTAGATCTGCCACTCTTAGTGCAGGAGTCATCGATACATTTTTTAAATTAATAATTAATTTTCAGTGGTTAACATCGCCATTTTTGAATGAACGTCCTGCCATAAAAGGAACGATATTAAAGTTTAACAGATTTTCTATCAATTAATGATTTTTTAAACAGCGGTGAACAATTTAGAATAATCTCTTTAAATTTATTACCTTCATATAAAACTAAAATTACTGACCTTACGATCTTCTTCCTTGAAATAGTAAATACTGTGAATACTGAAGACCAGATCTGCCTTCTCTAGAGGACCTTGCCATTTTTGAGCGGGCGCCAGATGCAGGTCAACCATAATATCCCCAGGAAGGTACTTTTTCACGTTTTGTTCCAACTCTCTCATGCAACTGACATCTTTTTCCACGGCTGTGAATTTGGTAAGATTTGGAGTTGTCCTTTTTAGGTAGAAAGAAACATTGGCTTGAAGTGACTCAGAAACTTTGAACAAATTAGTAAGAAACCATTACAATAAAAGCTACTTTTTCAAAAAAGCAAAATCCACATCCCCCGGACCCGGGCCGATTGAAATTGCATGCCTAACATTGTCGAGATACTTTTGTCCTATTTCTTCAAATAAGTTTTTAAACACTTGGTTGATATACGTTCACAGTTCAGAATTCTTTATGTAATATAAAACCAAAATCTGCGTGGTCGAGTTAACTTTGAAGAACATAATTTTTATTAGGGGTTTTTTTTTATTTTTATCTTTGCTAGATATAAATTTTTTTAAATTTTATTGAAGATTTATGTATGAGGATAAAATCATAAGAATAACTAAGTAATTAAATAAATAACAAGGTTTATTGTTAATTTGATGTTGTTTTTATGAAAATCTTTTTAAAATATTTTTTTTAATGACTTATTATTATGTCAGCGTATTAAATTGATGATATTCAAGGCTATACTGATGCAAGTATTATACAAAGTCACGTTTTCGTGATGCGAGTAAAATAATTCTTTAATTTATTTCAATAAAATTGTTTCACTTAATTTTAATAAATATGCGTTTAGCTTTTAATCAAATTTATATGAAGAAATATATATATATGAAGAAATTAGCATTCCAGCAAACAGAAGAACACAAATTTTAAGTGACGAAGGCTTCTACTAAAAACTTTCATGGTTAGATAAAATTAAAAGAGAAATTTTAATGAATCTCTGTAATTAGCAGTGGTTGAAATGATTTTTATGGTAAGTAAAGACACCACGGAAAACTTAATTAAATTAATAAAAAAGTTTAGTCTAAGAGGTAAAATGCAACAAAACAACAAAAATTTTATTAAATAATAAAAAAAACACAACTAAATCATTTGTGGCTTTCCAAACCATTTTTGAAGAACTTGCAATAGCAATATTTCATATTTTAATTTAAGCACACGAGTAAAATAAGATTGAGATTGTCCTACTAACTTCCAACATTCCTGATTCTCGTTCGCATCCATTGTTCACAAAATTTTAGACAATTTTTTTTAAAATTTACCGTATTTTATAGACAGCTTTAATTTACATCGTCATATATAAGCACACACACACACATACACACGAACACACTAACGCACTTAGCACACACACGCACACTAACGCACTTACTCTTCTGTTTTCTCCAAAATCTAAATAATAATAATAATTTTTATTTTACATAAATTTAATTTAAATTTCAACGTATTGTCTTACATTTAAGTTATAAACAAATTGACAACAAAATGTGGACGATTTTCGGAATTTGAACATTGTTCTTTAGAGACGAAATTCAATTTGTAACAATGAAAAAATTAGCTTTGTAATGTTTTAAGAGAGTTTATGAAATGGCATGTTTCCGTTTAGTGTTGCAAGTAAATGTCGCGCAGAATGCATGTTGTTTGACAAAAAATTCCGTAGTTTTAAAACGATAAAATACCTCCTTTCACAATGCAACAAATATATTTTATTCAATCTACCTTTTTGAAAAATTTCTTTATTATATTTTTTGAAAGCATAATATAGTTATGCACCATTGCATATTATTTTATCATCATTCTTACTTATGATACATACTAAAGCAAAAGTTTCAATTTATTTCGCAATGACAATAAAAACTTATCAGTTCAATTAACTGCTTGTACATTCAATTAATGAAAGTCTGTTTGGAAAAACTTCATCCTTTACTATAATGATAGTACCAAATTAAAATTTTTGGTGGCCTATTCAGTAGAAATGGCATGCCTCATGCTGTAACTATGAGATGGCCCGATTCGAAAACCATCTGTTTGTCTACAGACATTTTGTCTACAGACATATTCAAACTCAAACTTTTTGTACTAACGTTGTATGGTTTGATTGAAGATTGCATACAGACTTTATAACAGGAAAGTATAACTATAGGAATCAAAAGCACGTTGTAACTTAAATGTTATGTTAGACATTTTGCATATGTTAATGCTGCATAATAATTAGGAAAAAAACGAAGGGGCTGTCAAGTTTTGAGGTGGGGGCCTAAAAATACTCGACCCTTTAGATAAGTTGGCTAAGGGGTATTAGTAAACTATTTGATTGACAATTTATTTTTTAAATAAAATTAGAATTAGAACACAAAAATTCAAATTTTTACTATAAAAAAAACTGTCTTTGTTGGCTCACAATATGTCTTCGTTGAATACAAGAAGGTCATTAAAAAAAGTCAATAGTGTACGTACGGAACAGTTTTTCAAAATAATTGTAACGTATCGCTTAACAAAATATGTTCTAACTAGGTAGGTACTTATAGAAATTTAATTTTTATAAAAAATAAATGTGTACAAAGTTCCTTGTTCATTTGAAAATGTCGAAAGACTGGTAAAATTTATATACATTTTACTAACAACAATATAATACTTACAATTACACCAAATAGTTCACCTTTTATCGTGATGAATATTTTTAAAGTATGAATGAAATAGTTTAACGATGCGTAGCTAATAAATAAAACCATTCATTTGTGACAACACGGTACATTGGCTAATGAGAAAAAAAATTACTCTCAAGCAAATGACTTGAATTGACATATGTATCATTGATCAGACTAAATAAATTCATATTGGTTATTATATTATTCTTATATTTAAATATTTATGATAGTATATATATTTTATAATATTTATTTATTTGTATGTGTATAAGTGTGTATATATATATATATATTTATTTTCATATTTATACGTTCATACATGTATTATTTTCATTATATATAGTCTTATCTTATAAATATCAAGATACTTTTATCAGCTAAGCGCTTATTGGTTCGATTTCATGTAGTTGCTTTCGCACACATTTTAATATCATGTCTAAAATCTGGATTATTTTACAGCTGTGCATTTTGGAGGTTTACTCAAGTAAGAAACTGAATTTCAATAAATTATAACCTACTTTTAATTCATCATTCAGAAAATTAATAAATCTACACCGTTTATTTGTGTTTTGATAGTTATACATTTATAACTTTGTCTCCATAACTAACAACAGTTGATTTTCAACTTTTTTTTTTGATTTTTTGATTTTTAACAGTTTTTTTTGCAAATTTTTACATGAAACAACTTTCAAAATCGACTTTTCTTTAGGATCAAGCCTAGCGACCGGCAAGTACAGCACTGCGAGTTCTTACTACCAGAACAGTTCCTGCTACCATCCGTCCAAGGGGAACGATGGAAACTACGTGCAAGCCCTAGCCTGCAACAACTGCTACAGAGGAAGCGACCCGAGAGGAGGTGGAAACTGGTGGCTGGTCGACCTGCTGGACGTCTACTTCATCGATATAGTTGTCGTTTATACCATCTCAGGATTTGGTGCAATGAAATTTTTTAAACTTATGAAATAAAATTATTTTTTCATTGCTCTGATTTGATGTTTCACGCACAGTTTTTATTACGTTGAATAATATTTTTCTTCTGATTGACGAGACGTATTCACAATTTACCAACCGATCGAATGTTCTATCGGGAAATGTTATAACGGTAACACACAGAAATGCAGTTGGTCCAGTTCCTGGTTGGATTGGCGAACACCCTCGGCCCAGTTGTGAGGAACTCTTACGAACTTTGCGACCAGTACCAGAAACCTATCGTGGTGCCTGGCTCCTACCAAGTCAGATGTAATGCCAACCTGGAACAGTACAGCATCGTCATCATCCAGCAGCCCTCTACTGGTTTTGGAAGCATGGCGTTTGCCGAAATGGAAGTTTTCGCTGCACAAAATCCTGGTTTCGTTACTAATTTTACTAGTTTTTAACTTTTTTATTATTTTTAAATATTAATTTTTTTAAATTTTTTTCTAAATTTTAACTACTCCCTGTTCAAGAATCAAAAGTATGGAAAAAGTTTGCGAAAAATCGTCTGGCAAAACCTGCAAGTGTTACAAAAATTGTACGATCAGCGATAGAGTGCGTGATCGGTTGTAGCATCATTAAATGCTACTCAGTCAACTACAACCACGTTTTGATGTCATGTGAAATGTTTGCGAGTTTGCAAGGATTGCCTGCGCCCTTCATCCTTACGGCTGATGTCAAATACGATTATTTGAAGTCTCAATACGTGTAGGTTCCTACAAGGATGGTAATCAAGCATTTGAGTGTAAAAAGCAGCAAAAACATTGTATATGTGTGTGGTAATTGTTTGTCTAACCTGTTAAATTTGTATCAACAAACTAATATTTTAACTTTTTAATATTTAAACAAATTAATATTTGATATTTTCAAACACTTTCTTAACTCTAACTCAAATTTATCAAGTTTGTTTTATCTACAGTTGAAATTTTAAAAAACATAACCAAATATGAGCCATATATTGATGTATAAATATCTGATAAAAAAATAATTAACAAAATATAAATAAATAACATAATATACTTGATTAAAAAATTTTGTGTGTGTTGTGTGCGTGTGTGTGTGGTGTGTGTGATGTGTGTGTGTGTGTGTGTGTCGAATTTTTATGATTACAATTCGCGAACCATTCCTACATCAAATATGCATGAGACATTAATTATTTAAATTCTTTGAAATATGTTTTTGAATGTGAGCTAACATAAAATAACAACCAAACAATAAATTCGTCTGTAAAATTCTCCAAAATTCTGTCATGAAATTAAATTATTCGTATGAAATTTTGAAGATTCATCGTCTCGTCAATCACATGTTATTTAATGAACAACAGTTGTTAATACAACATGTTAAAAGGATAAAATTCATCTTATGAATGAATTCATCTCAGTGAATAAGTGAATGTGTAATTTGAGATTTAGTTTAATTATTTTAAGAAAATATATGCGATTAAAACCAACAGCCTACTTTTTATTCCATAAGTATATTATATTTAATATGCAGCGCACATCAAGACATTTTTGTCTAATTGAAATTAAATTTTTTTTGGCTGAAAAAATATTTTTTGCCTAAAAAATTTTAATGATTTTATATAACAAAAAATTTCAAAAGAGCAGTTGCTCCACGTCAATAATCAGTGAGTTAAAAATTAGACATTCAAAAACATATTCATGGGACATTAAAGCTCAACGATAGCCAACCATGTATTTCATAGTTTTACCGAACAGCTAACTAAGTCGTTTTTGAATTTAACATTTAAATTTAAATTTAATTTTAAAATTTAACATAAAATTTAAAATTTTCAAATCTGTAGTTCTCTGCTGGCGATTGCAATGAAAGCTACCTGGATAGTTCTCCTCTATTTTCGACTTGCCAATGCAGGTTTTGCAGTTTGAAGAAAAATTTATTTTTTTTATTCCTCCTCTTTCAATGACATTTCTAATTGTGTTTGTTCAAATATTACACAAACGACTGATAATGAAAATGTTTTTAGACAAGTTAAACATCAATTTAGAATTTATTATTCTTATGGAAACTCTATCAACAGAATGCATTTAAAATAAAATACTTTTATTATTGAGAATGATGTTTGTTACAAAAAGTATATTGAAAACATCGCAAACCGGAGTGATAAACTGTAACCATTCAAAAACATTTGTTTCATTTTTGTACCAACATTCACATACTTCAAGTAAATAATTCAAACAAATAATTCCAGTTAAAAACATAGCACTCTTCAAGACTGCCACGGCTGATTCCACATACTATGCAAACGCATGTGCAGTAGCCTCACATGCCACAGACGGCATATACAACACAGATGGCTACAAATGTGAATGTTTTGCTGGTGCTGTAAAAACTGAAGTGAGTTGGCTGATGGTTGATTTGGAAAAATCTTATTTCCTTGACTCCATGGCAATTTTGATTGAAATGCATCTTTGTTAGTTCATTTTTAATTAAAAAATATTATTTCTCTTTGTTTTTTTAAAACCGTTTTTCTTAAATGTTTCAATTAAAATTGCTGAAAGAGTTGAAATTCATTTGGCAAAAAAATAGTTAAGAAAGCACTTAAAAAAATTTCATTAACAGGATCATTCAAAAAAGATAAGTGCACAACCTAATTCATTTAACCATTAAAAACTTTATTTGGAAGAATCTAACGATGGAAAGTCATTGTTGCAAATTTTACAAATATGTTATTAATGGATTTGTAAATTCAAGATATTTATTCAATAATACATTGATTTTGGAAAATTTGACATAAACAAAACTAAATAAAAATTCATGTCTTCCCAATTTTTATTTTTGAAAAATTTTTAGCCTCCACGTCAATTTCAAATACTTTGACTCGCGATCCAAAAAAATGTAAGTTGGCAGGCTCTTTTAACGTTCAATAAATTGAAACCATCGATAAAATTCGGCGATTGATCTCAGTACACAAATGTACGTTCTAAGTAGATAACATATAACCTAACGCCAACAAAATTTCAATGCAGATACGTCTATGAATCAATTTATAACTGGAGGATCGAATCAAAACAACGCAACCAAGAGAGGTCTTTATTACCTTTGTAACCAATATGAGTTTGATATCTCAGCTACAGGTATTTTCACATTGAAATGTAACGCTAACATGCCAGCAGTGAGGTACGTGATTGTCCAAGCTAGGTACGACCTGCCTGGTAACTTGAATGCATGCGAGTTGCTCGTTTACGAAGCAGCATATCCAGGTAGGAGTAATGATAAGTAATTATTTGAAAATTAAGTTAAACTGTATTTAAATGTGAATACTTCAATCAGTGAGAACTGTGTAAGTTTTCAAATGATATGATTTGTAACTTATACATTATTCAACAAAGATTTAATCTTTAATGCTAATTAGCATTAAAAACTTTTGGACCATATCAACGACTGTTCTCTAAAAATGAACAAACATTCAGAAAGCAAACTTTGGAACAAACTCCATGACCACAGATTGATCCAAACATTTTTATTCTCGTTTAACACAAGCTCCGTACATGGATGTCTGATTAGATGCAACTTGTACAAATGTGGTTCAGTTAACTATAACAATGCCAACACGGCTTGTGAAATATTTCAACATCCCTTCGGTTATGTTACTGGGAATGTTCCAAAGCAAGTTATAGGATGGGACCACTGGCAGCTATTTTATGCATGAAGTGGCAAATGATGGATGTAAAATCAACTAATTTATTGGACGTGCATTGAAAAAGATTCAAATTGTTTTATTTTTTTGATGTCGATCGTTTTTAGACTAATATAGACTAAAATTATGATATAGACAAATTGAACTATTTGAGATTATAGAATTCTTTTGTAATCTGTTAGTTTCAAATTCAATTTTGTTTTATAAACCTAAACTCTGCTTTCTATATTTGATGTTTTATAAAATTATATTTATATCTGCATTATAATATCATACTTAGATTATGTTATTTTTTTTTCGAATAAAGTTTTATTACAAATTTTTATTGATGAAATAGCTTTCCTGTAGGAAGCTGACCTAAAACTTATAAAGAATTGAAAAAACTGAAAAAAGAACTAATGTTGAATTTATTTCATGTTATTCTTTATTCAATAACATTTAATTTTATTCATATTCAAATCAAATATTTATAATTTGTGTCTTCGGAACCAAATTATATTAAAGACGCTTTTCTGTTTTTTCAGAAATTTTTTTTTGTGGGAAAATAATTATAAGAGTTCAATTATAAGTATTAGTCATTTGAAGTCTTTTTTTAAAATTAATGACAAACATTTTTACGGTTTTGGGAAAATATTTCATCTCAATCATGACGTAAAATGTTTTTGGGTCCAACAAAGCACATTAAATTACTATTCTGAAAAGATCAATTTTCTAAAACAAAACACAGTAGAAATTTTTTATGAAAATTTTTCTAGCTAAACAGATCTAACAAACACGAAAATAATAAAAACAACTTTACGTTTTTAAATCAAACCCAAAAAAATACCCAACTTATAGTTGCTGAACAACGCTGAATAAGTTTCCACTAGTGTAACCCTTGTTACCGTCCTCAATCAACTTTTTTATGGCCCTCCTCACAACATCTTCATCTTCGAAGGGCGGGTTGGCGTGAATCATGATGAAAGAGACGACGTTATCGTGCAAGGCCTGCAGGTCTTGGCGGTATTCGTAGTTGTAAACCTTCTCAACAACGTATCCAAGACTGGCGAGTTCCTTTTTGATTGTGTATGCCTCGATGTGTGGCGTTCTGCCTGTTTCTCTCAAGATATCGTTCAAACAGAAGGTGTCTGTGGCTATTTCATTTTGAATCAATATTCTAAAATATTTTATACAAAATTATTAAGATATATGTGAATGGATTTCCAGCACTTGAAACTCAACTAATGAACGTTTAATAGTTTCAAATTGTTATAAAAAAATGTATTACTTTTTTATTCAATTTTATTGGTTACTAAAAACCTTTCCTTAAACGCCTAATTAAAACATATGAACCTTTTAAACGCAACAAATTCTTACCTTCATACAAATCTTTATGCAATAAAACAAAAAGCTTCCCATTCGGTTTCAGCCAATGGTTGAAACACTTTTTGTATATCTCCTGTTGAAATAAATTGAGTACGAAGTATTTTAAACGCTATTATGTAAAAAAATAACTTGAAATAAAAAATGTCTTTCAATAAGTTTGTTAATGTCTTGATATTTGCTACGAGGTAGAATAATTTTGGCAAATTAGGCAAATGGTACAAATATTCTTCTAAAAATAAGTTTCAGCTATTTTTGGCGTTAAATTGAAGTCATTTCTTCAAATAAGCATAAAAATGTTCTTCTTCTTAGAATGTCTGGGTGGCGAGATGATAGAACGTTGAAAATCTCTGGTCTAGTAGAGCCGTGGTCATGGCCTATTTCGGAACCTCGCCTACCAAATGCAGTGTGTGTGGCGACTTCACATGTGCAGTGTGTGGCTTTGTTAATATTTCCATGAATTAATTAACCAAAATGTAACAATAACTTTAAAAAAACGAGACAAACGAAAGGATACTGATAACCTTACGCTCTTCTTCGTTGAAATAATACAAGCTGTGGAACATGAGGACTAGATCAGCTTTTTCCCGAGGGCCTTGCCAGTGTTGGGACACTGACAAATGCAAGTCAACAGTTACGCTAGTTGAAAATTCTTTTGCAATATTCTCTTTCAGTGCCTCCATGCAGCTGGCGTCCTTCTCAACGGCAGTGAATTTCATAAGGTTCGGAGCTGTTCTGGATGATATTTGTTTACCTTTCTAGAAATATGTTTATCATGAAGATTACTTGATGACTAAAATGATTTTCTAATGCCAAAATTTTTTAAAATTTAATTTTAGTAATTATAAGACAAAAACATTCACGTTAAATTTATAAGAGCTTTTAAGATTAACAAAATGTCCAACTTGTTAAGGAATAAAATGTCGGCGGTTCCTGGACCAGGTCCGATGGAGATGACATGCTCGATGCCATTTAAATAATTTCCGTCTATCTCGTCAAACAATTTCTTGTACACGCTGATCACATCTGACGAAGAAAAATGACAAAAAATCATCTAAATCAAAAATTTATTGCTACAATGAGAAAAAAAAATATTCGCTTTGTCAAATGTTTAGATAAAATAATTCAGAAGTTTCATAATTTTAATACACAAAAACGCTCTGATGATGATAGTAACGAAGATGGTAATGATGATGATGGTGATAATTGTAATGATGATGATGATGGCAATCATGATGATGGTAATCGTGATGAATGTGATAGAATCTGGCAGGCGACCAATAAGAATGAAGAAAACATATTTAACGTAATAAAAGAACATCAAAAAACAATATGAAATCTATACGCGTTTCGAAATCACCCATCAGGGAATTTATTTTAGGGAACATGTTGTTTGATGAAATTTGAAAACCAACTCACCTCCAACTTTTCTGTATTCTTCCAGGGCATTGGCGTAAGTAACATTCACGTCGTTCGTGTACATTGCTTTGAGAAATGGAATACTATCAAAAATATGATACAAATTAAATACTAATTAAAAAGTAACGCTTCACTCAACACTTTTATACATATAAAATACACACACCACACACACACACAGAGAGAGAGAGAGAGAGAGAGAGAGAGAGAGAGAGAGAGAGAGAGAGAGAGAGAGAGAGAGAGAGAGAGAGAGAAAGAGAAAGATATTTATATACGACAACCTAAATGTAAATGCATATATATATACATATATTTCTTTATTTATTTATATATATATATTTAACATTTTTTTAACATTTTATCTCACCAAATCAAATCAAAGAGAGAGAACAGAATTAATGAAATGAAATGATCTGGAAACCAAAAATAATTTTTGTTGTAACAGTTACCAGTTACTTATTTAATAACAACTTAATCATATCATATCTAAACGACTCTATCATATCATATCATATTTAAACGTTATAACGACTCTAGTCACAGTGATATCATACAAACCACACATATACATGCGCTCACTTGCACACTCATATAAATAGACATATAAACACATATGGCCACGCCGAGTGCATGAACATCTTACGCATACATATGTGCACCTCCATATACAACCCCACGGTACCTTGGTTAACGCACATAGAATACAATATTTATATACATATATACACACATTCCTTCACACATACATACAAATACACGCATTCATACACACATACATAAACACATTCACACATGCATACACACACACATACATACATACACACATGCACGCACGCACACACACGCGCACACACACCCACATACACTCTCAGGCAAACATACACACTCACATGCAAACACACACACACGCACATGCAAACACACACACATACATATTCCTCCGAGCCTGATCGAATCCACCAGATTGTTAACAACCCGCCAGACCCGACAAAGCCCAGCATAATTCATATTCTAAAAAAACATACTGCCTAGATACACAGATACATACGTACATATAAAAATTCACAAAGATTTAAATATGATTTAAATACATAAATATATATATGTGTGTGTGTTTGTATATATATATATATATATATATATATATATATATATATATATATATATATATATATACAAACAACACACGTTTAGACGACATTTTCCCCGAGATCGGGGGTTGCCGTTTGGCTACCTATGATGAAACCGAAATACCCCTCGATGCCATCATAAGTAATTTATTTGGCTAATTTTTACGCAGGACGCCCTTCCTTACGCAACCACAGTTATAAGCGGTGGGCCTAGCCTTTGATGATCCAACATCCCTCACAAGGCAGTGAGGGTCAGTTTAATGTCATAACCAGGACTTATATATATATATATATATATATGTGTGTATATATATTATACATGAATGTATTCATGTATGTGTGTATGAATGCGTGTATTTGTAATTATTGATGAATATATATAGATATACATGTAAGTGTAGTGAGCTAAATTCAGTTTTTAACCTTTGAAATCAGCAATCGTTTTTCAGTAATTTTGAACTTTGGTATGGCTGTTCAGTAATTTAGATTTAATTCAGTCTTATTTCTTCATATGTTGAAAATTTTTTTTAGTCATAAATTATTTTTTTAAGCTATTTATCGGAAGAAGTTTTTAGTATCACTGATAAACCCAAAAAATTATCAGCAAAATAATTTATAACAGGAATTGAGAAGTGAGAATAAGATGACGATCGTTAACCGGGGCGTTTAGGTTTTATTAATATATCTGACATGTACTTAGGAGATAATTTATATTGAGACTTGCACATCAATGTGATGTGAAAATCACATCGATGTGAAAAAAAATCCAAAAGTTAAGAATTTAAAAACCACCTCCCAACCAAAACTGGGTTTGTCAAAAAAGTCATCAATTTAAAAAAAATTAAATTTTTGAAATTATTATTTTCCCGCGTATATCATAGGAATAAATAAAATGAAGTCTTGAACAAGATTTTGTGTCTCAAAACACGTTCATATCTGTTGAAATTGGTTGAAATTAGTAAAAGACAGCGGTAAAATTGACAAAAAATTAAATAGACCGTTACTTATATTTTAAAATTGCAATTGCGTAGATTAATACAGTTTCGGTTTTTTCTTTGTTTCGAGGGCGTCTCAGTCGCTTGCTAGGGTGCTTTATAAGTCAACATTATCATTATTATTAATACGGTTTCTGAAATGTGAAATCATTACACGTTAGTTTGTCTGAACCAAACAGCATCCCACGTAATCTCGATGAGTTAGTTTGAATCCCTTCGTAACATTACGTTAGGATGGAACATTTTATTACAAAGTTCTAAACTTCATTACAACTCTTCTAAACTTTCGTTTAGACAAAATTAATTATAACTGAACAATATTTTATTTTATTTGGAAATAATGTCAAATTAGTTGTATGGCAATCACGTGTTCAATTAAATTAATCTAAGATTTATAAATTTGGCACAACTTAAATTAAAAGTATTACGATTTTTTAATAACGCTGAATAAATTCCCACTGGCGTATCCTTTGTTACCAGCGTCAATTAATTTCTTGATGGCTTTCTTCACCAGTTCTTCGTCGTCGATTGGTGGGTTGGCATGTATCATTATGAAGGAGACAACGTAGTCATGCAGTGCTTGCAAGTCTTGGTTGTATTCGAAATTGTGCACCCGATCTATGCTGTAGCCAAGATGGATGAGTTCTAGTTTAACTGTGTAGGACTCGACGTGGAGTTTCCTCCCTAGCTCTCTCAAGATGTCGTTCAGACAGTAGGTTGTAGATGCTGTGTGGAGATTATGGATTGTGTAGTAAAACATTCCTAAAAATGAGCAATAACTGTCTCACTTTCGTGTAGATCCTTATTGATCAGAACAAACAACTTGCCGTTCGATTTCATCCAGCTGTTGAAACATTTTTAATAAATTTCCTATGCACATGTCGAAAAAATGATCAATTATGAAAACAGTTATATATTTTTCTAAAAAATTATTATCATCAAAAAACAAATTCTCTTTTAAAAATCATGTCGTATCAATATTTTGAGTATGTATGTTTGATGCATGCAAATATTGTTAGTTGGATAACGTGGTTCGTACTTTGCGCTCCTTTTCGTTGAAGTAGTACATACTGTGGAAGATGAGCACTAGGTCAGCTCTCTCTTGGGGACCCTGCCAAATTTGGGCCGGTGACAAGTGAAAATGAACGGCCACATCATCTGAGAAGAGCTCCTTCAAATTTTTTCTAAATTCTTCAATGCAACTTGAGTCTTTGTCCACTGCAGTCAACTTGGTCAGATTTGGTGTTGTTCTTTTTGAAATATGAATTAATGCATCGTTCATCATCCAAATTAGTGAAGTATATACAATAGATAACAACGATTCAGCGGTGAATTTGATCAATCGGTAAACTAGTAAGGAATATTTTTATTGCGCTATTTCTCAAACGCTCAACTTTGCTTTTTAACATTAAAAACATATCTAAATGATAATTTTCTAAATAAAAACAATCACAGATTTCAGCACCTATAAAAAATAAAAAGAAACAAGCAAGTATTTCTACATTCAAAACATGAAAAATGCCTCCTCCCAATCCTATCAAAGCATCTAACTTTGGCGGATCATCAACACGGTTTCCGTCCAAACTACTCAACAACCTCTGCTCTCACCACGATAACAAACGATATCGCAAATGGCCTTAATCACAAAAGACCTGCTCATCGCACCGTTCTTGCCGCCCTAGACCTATCTAAGGCCTTCGACACGGTCAGCCACCGTATTCTGCTCTCGGATCTTTTAACTACAACACTCCCAAGATCTGTTATACGCTGGATGTCAAATTACCTGCACGGATGTACCGCATCAACCACATTTCGACAACAGCACTCCAAACAACGAATCATCCACACAGGAGTGCCTCAAGGCTCAGTGTTGTCCCCCTCACTTTTCAACTTCTATGTCTCAAAAACACCTGCACCACCCCCGGACATCAAAATCATCTCATATGCGGATGACTTCTCTATCTACACTACAGGTCCAGATGCAGCTATTTTGACCCGGCGGCTTAACAGTTATCTGACGGAGTTACATGACTTTTTCCACAACCATAATTTGGAGATCTCAACATCCAAATTCACAATAACACTCTTTACCACTTACACATCGCAATACCATTATCACCCGTAAGTCAAAGTCAATAACCAAACTCTTCCTCTAGAGTATAACCCAAAAATTCTTACCTTTGACACGATGCTCTCCTTCTCGCAGCATCACAAGATGTCAGCTTCTAAGGCCTCTAAGCGAAACTCAATTTTAAAAGCTCACAGTGAAACAACCTATGGCCAAGACAAGGAAACACTAATGCAGACATACAAGGCCGATCAGTTATTGAGTATGCCTGCCCGGCCTGGTCTCCACTGACTTCCGACACAAGCTACCACAGACTACAACGCTCACAAAACGCTGCTTTACGGGTAATCACCGGATGCCACGGAATAGCATCGGAACAACATCTCCACTCTGAATGCCAGATGCTATCAGTAAAGCAGCATACTGACCTACTATCATCTCAATTCCTTTTACAATGCCATAATACCAGTCACCCTTGCCACGGCCGTGGTTAACTGGCTACGGCCTCGTCTGGATCCCTCCAATGATGTCTGACGCAGGGCAACAACAACAACAACATTCAAAACATTAATTTTACTTGTTTAGAAAGAGAATGTCCGCCTCTCCAATGCCAGGCCCAATGGAAATGGCGTGTCTGACATCCTTCAAATAATTTTTGCCAACCTCATCAAATAGCTTCTCGTATATGTCACTCATATCTGAGACAATAAAGATGGACATTACTTATTTGTAACATTTCACTGCTAATGAAAAAACTTGCTGAAAACCAGCGTTGCTTTGAGAATACTTTTCAGACAAAAGTTTCTGAACCATCATCATGAATCAAACATAGATAACAAAATAGTTAAATACACACAAGCGCTGGAGTGTGCACGTCTATGCATGCACCTGTGTGTGTTATACACAATTTCTATTACAAATTTAAAAGGTGGGCCTCTAATCCAGCCAGTTTTTGTATTTTATTAAAATATTTGTCAAAAATTATCGCCAATGTTTTGCGATAAAAAATATTTCAAAAGTTTTGTGATCCTAAGAAAAATACATTAATTTTCAATTGAAGATGAAAAAAAAATGAAAATTTTAGAAAAAATGGTAACAGTATATTTAAAATATAGCAAAATTTTGTTTTCAAGTGCAGTCTGTTTTCCTACAACTTTTGGTAAACAGATGAAACTTAATATAGAAACGTGGTTGTCTGTAAATTTTACAAAAAATATTTGGCATGGCATGTTTGTTTTCTCAGTAAACTATATACCATCCTTATCAAGATGCTATCATGTTTTCAGCCATTCAATTCAGAAATTTCACAGAAGCAAGAGGAGAAAGATAGTGAAGATTTTGAGAAGTTATTTGTAAGATTTCACATGTTTATCAAGTGGTTTGATAATTCTTGAAAGTTGAGTTACTATCCATTAATTAATAAATTTAAAAGTTTTTGCTAAAAGTGTATGTGTTTATATTAATTAAATCTTTATGTTAATTTCATGCCTGCGTTATACTATGTTCGTGTATAATGAAAAGTTTAAAATAAAAGTGCCAAAAAAACATTGCACATTCGCACAAATTTTTCTAGCAAAAATTTGTTATCTTATAAAAAGCAATTAGAGGTTCAACAAATGTGAAATTGTTTTTCCAAAATGAAAATATTGATAAGACAAAACATTTGTTAACAAAAATTCTTCTCGATGATGTGTCTGGATATTTGTTTTGATGGAAATGTTCAAGTAGGCCTACTTTTATATGCTGAGATATTGATACTAACATAAACTTTTATGTAAGCGTCAGTGACGGGGATAGATTATTCGTAAGAAAAACCATCAGCAACTAAGAAAATGTAGTGCAGAAGTTTTGAGAAAATAATCTTGTTAATGACTTTATTGTAAAAAAAAATGTAATAAAACATGTTAATGTCATTAAGATATCTCATTTTTTAAATAGATAGACAAACACAAAAAGCAGACATAGCTAATTGTAGGCACACTTAATAAACAAACATAGCCACACAAAATATTCCATGAATAATCAGAAGCATTTCAAAGTTTATGTCCAAAGAAGATGAAACTGTCATGTTGAAAGGGAGAAAATGAAAAGAATATTTATAAATTTACTTTTTAAAGAAAATAGAAATACTGAAAGTCATTTTAAACCAATATATGGTGATGTGGCCTCGTTGTTATCTTCCTACCTCAGCTGTTTGTTTGATTGAATAAAATAAAAGAGTATAAATGTCCGGAAGATACATAATAAAATACTTTCCTGGTTAACAGTAAAACCAGCGTAAATGCAGCAGATCAGAAGATGGAAAGTGGTAGAAACAACGGGCAGAATATTTGCAAACATCAACACACGCACTTTAAAAAGTAACAAATATCAACTCACCAATAACCTTCTTGTATTCTTTCAAGGAGTCAGCGTACGAAACATCCACATCGTTCGTTTGCATTTTTGAAAAATATTCTAGAAATATATTATTATTATTATATTTAAATATTTTACTATTATTATTAAGTTATTATTATTATTCTACATTGAGTTTATCGTTCAATATATTACCAGGTTTGGGTTAATTTTATTTTATAACATGAAAAATCTACAAACACATACACATCAAATCAAATCAAATATTGTATTTATACAGCGCCAATTAGAATTGCTTCTCATCAGCGCTCTCATATACACATATATGCATATGCACACATACTTACGGTGGAAGTAAAATTAACGCATTCATTTAGAGATAATTTTTACCTGGTTTTTCAAACACGTTAAAACGAATCTGCAAGCAGTTGCACTGAGAAATGATGACATTTATAGCATGGATCGATGTTGGCAAATAATGGGCTTATACAGTATTTCCATATCATTATCATACTCACTCTTCGTTTCCTATGTTATTATTTTTGGCTCGTTAACATTCTGCATTAGTATGATATATTCATTCGTTGATCTAACATTTTTTTAAATAAAAACTTTCATTTTTTCATTCGTTTATACATTCATTCATTCTCTTTCGTTAGTTTGTTTAATCAGCTGTTTCTTCGATAAATACGTTTTTTCGTTTATTCATTATTCACTCAATCGTTCTTTCGTTGTTAACTCATTATTTATTCCCAAAGTTATATAGCGTTAATGTCTTGTATTAGGGTCGACTTATAAATTTTTCAAGTGTACAAATTTGGTTGTACAACACAAGATACTGTATATCAAAAACGCCGTGATTTCGATTACCAAATTATACATTTTCATGCTCAGGAAATTGAGTACTACACTACATGTAAATCATTTTTTATAAAATTTAGTTGCATATTTAATTTGCTGTTGCAACAGAATTAGATATTTTGGTTGAGGCTTGAATGGATTGAAATTCAAACGGTGAACAACCTTTCCATTCTTCAGTCACATTTAATCATTAATTTTTGTTATGTCTTTAAGTTTAATGATAAAACTTTATTTAAGTGTAGTCAGGAACAATTTTGCAATTTTTTTGTGTTTGATAAACCAGGGGTGGGCAAACTTTTTGCTGTGAGGGCCGCATTGAGAACTATTTTACATATGAAGGGCCGCATATGTAATAAAATGGCAAATTTTTTCGATCCGGGAGAGAACTTTTTCAAGATTTGTGGCTTCTTTTTTGGTCATAATGTCTGGCTGACGAGCATTTTTGGCGAGAGGCCTCGCCGTAGTTTGCCCACCCCTCTCTAAACCATTAACAGTTCAAGCGGTAAATGTATTAAAAACAGCATCCTTAATCATCAGAAAATTTTATCACTTTGACAGCGATTTAATTAAAATTAAATGAAACCAAAATGAGTCATAGCACGCATTTTACAATCGTGGATAATTTAAACAAATGTTAAAAAAAGGCGAGCGAGAATGAAGTTTGAGAATGAAGTTTTATTTTATCTTCATAGATTGCCGAAGTCATTCACGTTAGAACAACTTTAAAAAGCCATGCCCGAAATTTTAAATGCCCAACGATCTGGAAAATGTATTGTTAATTGGAAAAACCTACTTTCTCGAATGTGGCACCAGACACTTCCTGACTGTTTTCCATGTTTTCCATCACGCTCACAAAAGAAGAATAAATAAAAAAAACTATTTGTTTATTATATTTATTACTGAAATGAAACAAAAACCAAGGACTAATGTACATAAGGCATCTTCGAAACAGAAAAATGAAGAAAAAACTAATTACAAAAAAGTATGGTACAGTGAACAGATTAATGTGCCAAGTGGTATATGACTTAATTAATATTTTAATTATTTTTATAAGAGACTTAATAAAAAATTATTTTATAAAATTAACACCTCATACATCCAGTATATTAACTTATGTAATAGAACAAGCTGCCAGTTGATATTATTTGAAAAAAATGTGACAGTATATCATCAAAAATCATTTGTCTCTGCACATAGACACGTACATTCTTAAGGATAAGAACGTGAAAAAATATATATGTGAATAAATATTAATTATCATAGAAAGAAGCATTGGCAAACTGACCAAATTAAAAAGCGGTTTTATTTAATATGACACAAAAGGAAGAACGCAGTACAAAAAAATTTTAAATTTCAGTTTCGCCCAAAACAGTCTTCTAAACATTAAACAAACGCGTCAATCATAGAGCAAGCAAATAGATTAAACCATGCAAAACATGCACTCAGAAAAATCAGAATATGAAGTCTATTTTGTGCTAGTCAATGGAAAGCATGCTTGCAGTATAATATTCAATCAAAAATGCTGAAATACGTTCCGGATGGCGAACACACTGTATCAAAAACAGTTATCGGTTTAAAAATTAATTATAAAAGGGGACATATTTATTAATTTATCAGATCATCGACAGTGTTATATATTTATAATTAATTATACTTATGGACTGTACATCGTGCACACCTAGCATATGATCAAATCAAATAATATTCGACGACTGAAGAGGCTGATGTAGGAGGAATAGAAAAATTCAAATAATGATATTCATTAATCTTTACAACAACAATGTTTATCCGCCTGCCTCATAGACCTGATAACTGAACTACCTTCAGAGTTAGGGAATTAATTTTAGTTGCGATTACAAAACACTCTAAATAACCAACAAATAGTTAAATGAATGCAAATTTACAGTAAATTTTGTTAGCCCATACAAATTATATCGGAACATCTCTTATTATCAATGCCATTTTAAATAAGAAATTAAGTGGACATTATATCCTCCAGACGATTTAAACATAATAATAATAATAATAAACCATCGCGTGAATCGAAATATTGATAATTTTGAGCTATATTTCTCTAAAAGGACAAACAGCACATTCATTTTGAGTCTATGCATGCATGTCCTTCAAGGCTAAACACGCTTACACATTTATATGTATATGTATGTGTGTGTGTACTCTTTTTATTTACTCTGTATGTGTGTACTATATACAGGCGTCTACTTTTTGAGAACCTATTCTGATTCCACTTTATAATCTGTAGATGATGGCATCTTGTGGTTTGCCATTGGGCAATCACTCATTTTCGACGGCTTGGCTTGTTGTATTTCTTTTTACTGACTTTGTGTCCATGCATTTCGCCATCTTCATCCTTATTACCACCACTGTCACCGTTCCCAGTACTCTTATCATTGCAAACATTTTTGTTAACTTTCTGGTTACTTTGTTTTGCAACTGGGAGAGAATTTCTTCTTGGAAAAATTTTGCTCTGTTTTTCAGCAGCCACGGACAATTTGCGCTTCCCCCTGTTGCTCTCGATCGAGGATGCTGAAGATGAAGCTAGAGGCAGAGTGGTTGATGACGTCGAAGACGGGGGTGTCGGAGATAGTAAGGTGTTTGGTGGTGATAAGGACGATGAGGATGATGACGCCGAGCACGATTGTGATGAGGCTGATATATGAGGAGTGAATTCATCACTTTGTTGTCTTTCTTGCTGGCAAAGGCGTTGCTGCTCTTTGGATAATCTGGTCTGTCTTCTGGTAGATATTCTGCTGCTGCTGCTGCTACTTAAGATGGGTTTGCCGCTGTTACCATTCAGTGTTATGCTGCCACTCGCACTTAATTTTTCAAAATCTTTAGATTTACTGAGCTTCCTCTTTTTCTTAGCTGGTTCGCCACCACCATCACCTTCAACATCCTCTCCATTATAAGTCGTGACTTCAATATTCACACCAGCTACATCATCACCCCTTCCATCTTTAAACGAAGAGCCATCCCCAGTCACCATTTCATCTTTTTTCACATCTTCAGTTTTTTTCCTTCTAACAGTCGTGTTTGTATCTCCGGCGTCAGCTTCGGTGATGATTGCATCAACCTCTTTAACATTCTGACCACAGCCAATAATTTTTCCACTCGTCAACAGTTTGTTAACACTCTCACTTTCATAATTTCTGTCCACTCTGTTTCTGGCATTTTTCTTCGAAGGTTCTTTCTTAGATTTCTTGGTTGATGGTGCCAAAGAGTCATAATCACAACTGACGTTAGCATTATCGTCGTCATCGTCGTTGCTGGTGATTTTGTGGGGAATATTTTTCCTACCTGACGTAACGTTAACCTCATCATCTCCATCTCCATCAATTTTGTTACCACTGGCACTGTTGCTGAGCTTGCGTCTTCTAGTTTGCATGCACTTGATATTACTGTCACTGACGCTGTTGTTAATGCCAACAGCGGAATTGGCGCTGGTACTGTTACTAATTGTTTTATTAGAATTCCTCCTGTCATCACGTGATGATGATGAATTGACAACATCATTATCGTCGTTATTTCTGCTGACATTGCCAGCACTACGCACGCTAGCATTTGTAGCAACATCGCCATCAGCATCACCATCTTCACTGTCAGATATTATTAAGATGTCTTCTTCGACATCATCATTCTCATAATTTTTCATGACACACACATTGTTGGAACTGTCTAGAGAAAAATCTGTAGCAGTAGTAGCAGTAGCAACACTGTTAGCCATCTTACTAGTGATACTGCTCCTAGTAACCGTAGTAGTAGTGGTAGCAGTAGTAGCAACAATCGCAGTAATACTAATAGAATTGGCAGTAGTAGTAGAAATAGTAGAAGAGTTGCCTTCACCTGACGATTTATCTGCATTATTTCTTAAACTACGTGAGTTATTTTTCAAGGCGGATGGTGACTTATCCAGAAATTCAACTACAACGAAGCTACTGCTGTCGCTAGTGCAGCTACCACTGCTGCTTTTAATACCACTAGTATTACTGCTCATGCCTACGCTAACGTTACTACCGCAGATTGTAACATTGGTGCTGGCAGAAGATACTGCTTTGGAAGTAACTTGAGTGGAGCTGCAAGGGGCAATCTTAGGCAGTATCTTGACAAACTGTTTGTTCACCATGTAAAAAGAATTATTTGAGGACTTGCTAGCAGATGTGGTTGCAGTGCTTACTGCAATACTAGCTCTTGAGACTGAAGAACTATTTAATTGATCTTGATCTGATGAAACTGCACCTGACGTACTTTTGTTTAAGATACTAGCTCCACTGAATGATGTTGAATGTGCTGACTTAGAAATGATGCTTTTAGATGAGTTCTGTCTGGTGTGAGCTGTCATTCTGTTGTTGATTCTGTTGATGCTGATGTTGTTAGTTTTGCTGCTGTCAGGAGTGTTGAGAACAATAACTTTTGGTCTAACGCTTTGTTGCTGTAAGCCACTATTGTTGTTTAGGTGCTTGGTACTAGCACTTGTGTTGTTATTCAGGTTGTTGATATTAGTAGCATTGTAATTTTTGTTCAGCAAACTATGAACAGTTTTGACGTAATTGTTGGAAATGTACGAAGGCTGGATGCTGCCACTACTGCTATTATTGATAGTATTATTACAACTATTGTTGAGACTGATATAACTTTTTGGGCTTATTATAAGTTTTGGTTGATTAGCTAAAGCACTGCTGTTAATGTTACTGCAGCCACTGCTTAATGCCTGCTTGTTAACTCCACTCGTACAGGCACTGGCATTCAAGTTGGTGCTGTTATTTACAATTTTGAGAGATGCAGTACATGGTGCACTGGCATTTTTGCTGCTGCTATGTGTGTTCATCTCAGCGATGTTGTAATATGACTTTTCAAAAACTTGCTGGGCTTGCCAGAGTTTTGAGGCTATCAATCTTCTTTTGGCAATGAAGGCACCAGGAGACAATAGACTATCAGTGGATGATGAACTCGTGTTGTTGTTACTGGGAGAAGCAATGGTGCTGCTGTTGTCATTATTGTTGTTTGAGGATGGATAACTACTGACACTTTCGTTTACATTCTGTTTAGAGATGTTGCTGCTGCTGTTAATGCTACTAATATCAAGGGCAGATTTGTTGCCACTACTCTGACCAGCAGTCATAGTAGTAGTTGTGGTAGTAGTAGCAGTTGCAGTAGTACAAGCAGGGTTATGACGAATGCCAGGTTTATTTTTCTGTAGTCCGTCGTTGAGAGAGAGTAGGAACATTTGCATGCTGGATGTGACCGACAACAGCTTTTCCACCATTGACAATTGACTTGTGTAGGAAATATTCTTAAACGGAAAAGTCTTAGCAGGTGGTAAGGTGGGTGATGTCAGGATAAACTTTGCTGACGCGTTGTTGTTGCTGCTGTTGTTGTTGTTGCTGTTACTGCCAGTTTGGTTAATGGACTGGCATTGACTTTGAAGTGATTTATGTTGTTGCTGCTGCTGATGAAGGCTGTGAGCATTCACAGATTGTTGTGGTGGTTTGCTCAGTCTCACCTGAAATTGAAGAAAAATCAAAGTTTAGATAATAAAATATAATAAAATGAATATGATTTAAATTTTCAACATAAAAGTCTTCAAGCAGTGGAGAGCAGTATATGTTGCAGCCTACGGTACAGCTAATATAATATGTAACTGCCCACACTATCTGGACTTCATATCATATTAATATCTTTAAAAAGTTTGAAAAACGTTAAGACACTGATGTAGAGAAAAATTTAGTTGCTGTGTCTTTAGCTTCTATCTACTCCAGACTTCATTGCAACATTGCAATTTAATGGAGTAAATATTAAGAATACATCTGTTTACAGAACATTATACTATAACTTGACAACAATGAAAATTAATGATTGAAACAACAGACTGATACAAAATTTAAAAAAAAATCCAACATACCTGAAGAGTTGAATTAGGCATTATTCCAAAATATCCATTACTACCTGCACTCAATCTACTGCTGTTACTAGTAGTAGTAGCAGCAGAAGTGTTGTTATTAACCACCACACGAGAGGACCCTGAACGAGTTTGTGATTTATCAGCTACACCACTTACGCTACCATTACATACCATTGCAGCAGAATTAGCTGACGGCAATGTGAATGATGTGTTCCCAGTGGATGATGCAACGGTTGAAGATTTGATGTGATATCGTTTCGTTCGTTTCAGTTCCAGTTCCTGTTGTTTCTTCTCAAGTTTTGTGAGGGCCTCCATCACAGCGGAGCAATGCTCGATAAGACTGAGCAGAGGCTTCGGGTTGCAAACGTAACATTTCCATTTGCTGCATTCATCTGGTAATGTGATAGTGAGAGAGTTATATTTTACATTTTATCCATGATTTCTAACCAACTTATAGTATCAAACATTTCTTTCCTTATTCTAACTTAATGAACAGAACAAAAATTGTCAAAGTTATTTGAGAAATTAAATTGCCTAAATCAGTTTATGAACCAAGACAGTCAATGATATTAAAAAATAAATCCTAGTTATGAACACTATTAAAAAAATTGTTTATGGCTAAAATGCCTCAAATTTAAGCTCATCATTTGGTGCATAATAATAATTCCAACAGGATAAATTAGCCTTCACTACTCAAACTCACCACTATCGAGAATGGAGTTCAGTTCCTTCCGGCCTAGGTTTCTCCTGATGCAGCCCTTGCAGAATGAGTTGTGGCAGAAGTCGCAGCAGATGAGGTCGCCACCCTGTCTGCACCACCGGCATTGCTCGTCGGTGCCCTCCGAGTCCTGGTCTACCTCCGCACTCGTGTACCAGTAGTAACATTTCTGAAAGTCAATCGTTGATCGTGTAAGATTTTAGTACATGCAGAAAAAATATGTAATAAGAGACCCAAGAAATAATAACTGTGTGTAATAAAATTCATAAAACAATAACAAGAATAAACAAGACAAATAAATGCTATATAATATTCTGCATAAAATTTAAATGACTAGCAACGACTTATGTAATTCAACGCAAACATTCTATATTCAGTAACATGCAACAACGAAGCCCAAGAAAATGTTTCAGCTGCAACCTGCCTGGTCTCGACCTGCTATAACAACCCTTCTATAGAAAATAGTAATAATGAAAAAAATAACAATAACTAGAAGCCAACTAACTAACCCTGCAGATGAGGACTTTGAGTACAGGGTGTCTGTGATAGTCCATGCTACCATCGACACCGATCTGCTTGTTGCATGCCGTGCAGTGCAAGATTGCCGAGTCCAAATTTCCTGAATAAGTTTAGAAGGTAACAAACATTAATAAACTAATTTTTGCAAATTTTTAATTTGAAAAATTATGAACAGTTAGGAGAGCTGCCAACCAGCCCTCCATCAAATAACTAAGCACACACATTCAAGCAGTCACAAAGAACCATTAAATTAATAACAACCAGCCAATTAGTTAATTAATCAACCAACCACCTTATCATTACATTTGTCAATTTGATAACATGATGAACAACATTACACCACAAGAATAGATAGATAAACAATTGAAAAATGAAAATAATTTCTAGCTAACCTCCTTTAAAAACTCTTTTAGGCCTTGAGGTTTCAATGTTGAACATCACTGGTGAAGCATCCACTGATTCAGGCTGCACAAAAACTGTCCCTATCAAACAGAACAAAAAAAAATAAAATAAAATAAACATCAATCCATCTGCAAAATATTTAGTTATTTGTTTTTTTTAATGGCAGTTCACACTGCACCATGAACATACATGCATTTGCATGACAACTGAAAAAGGATTTCATCAAAAATGAAAAAGACGAGTCTGTTATATATAATTGACAGCTTTGAATGGATCACAATAAATACTATAACACAAAAAGTTGAAAATTCATCAAATGATTACGATGGGTAATTAAATGCCATGGATGATTTCCAGGGAACTGGGCCAAGCATGTAGTTTTTAACCCGCAGGTAAATATTTTCAAATCCATACAAATATGCTGAAATCATATTTCAAATTTGTAATTACTACATTTCCACAAATTTAAAATGATCATAAATTGTTTAAATCATGAAATTTATAGAGATGGCCATGTTAAAACAAAAGTAACAAAATTATGACAAAACTTAATTTAAATTCATTCATTTAATTAATGGATGAATGAGAAGAATTTTAATTTAATGTCATAGTTGACTTTGTGGATTTAAGTGCATTATTCCATCACTCTATTATCTGAAGCAATTCTTCAGTGGCTGTAAAATAATCAAGGTTAATTGCTACCTTGAACAAAGGATAAATACACACACACACATTGTGAAATGGGACTTCTATGCAATTAAAATTTTCAAGACAACAAAAGTCCCAATGAAAAAAATACACAGTCGCCAACAACTAACATAACCAGAACTGCAATAACCTCTGAACATACAAATAGATAAAACCCTTAATTTAAATTAACCATAACTGGTAGAGAAACTAAATGAGGTAGAACAAAAAAGAATCTTCGCCACACTTAATTAACATTAACCCCAACTTAACCTTTATAATTCAACACATAATTGACACAATAACTGAGAGGCATAACTCACCACTGTAACTAAACATAACATAATATTAACAAAAATTAGAAGAGCCACAAACCTTCTGGCAAAATGAACTCATCTTCAAAATCTTCTTGAGTAATTTTAGCATCTTCAACATTTACGAGTGATGATGAAGATGATGGGGAGATGTTGTTCAAATTGTTGTCAGCATTGTTGTCAACATTGTCGTCAAAAATTGGTAATGTTTTAATATTGAGAGATTCGTTTGATGGCTGCTGATCAAGATAATTATCAGTTGAACTCTTTCTCAAAGGAGAGTTGAGAAGCGAGTCATCGAGGGTTATATCCAGTTGTTTGATAACTTTATGGGTCTTCTGTTGTTTTCTGTTTGGGGAACAGTTGGATGGTACAATTCATGAAGAAAGAGAGATTACCCACAAAAATTTGAATTAAAACTGGTAACAACTTTAAAACGCTAATTCATTGGTAGCTAAATAACATAACATTTATGAAAATTGATAGAGCAAATTGATAACTGAAAATTTAAAAATTTGAAATAAATTCCTTGAAACTTATTAATAAAAATGTAAAGTAAAAAATTATTTTAAAAAATAAACCATTTAAAAATAAATAATATAAAATATATAAAATGAAAAAAAAATCAATACCTTCTAGATGACTTTTTCTTTTGACCTAGTTTCTGAAAATTATTTAAATAAAAAATTTAATAATTTAAAAAGAATAACTATATTGCAATATAAAACAAAAAATAACTAAATTAATGAGTAAAATTTTAGAATTTAAAAAAAAAATAAAATTTAAGTTCCCTACCTCATTATTATTCATATCAGATTCATCATCAAGTTTACCATCTGCAACTTTTTCAGATGTAATGGCTATTTTATCTTTTTCTCCATTCTCACCGTCAGCAATTTTATCACAGGTTTGATTCAAAGTCTCAGATATGATATCAGTTTCAGTAAGCTGCTCTTTTTTATTTTCACATAACTCTGTTGCATTAAGAGTGTTGCATTGTGTGTCGATTACATTATCACTTGTGGAGAATATTTCAAGTTCTTCATCATCAAAATGGAACTTGGTATGACCAGTACTTTTCAACTGCTCCGAACCAAAATCATCTGGAGGTATGGGTTCAGCTTCAAGTGCAGATGGTTCTGTTTTTAGTTCATTATCATTACTTTCTAACGAAGGTGTCAATGGAGTGATCAATATTTCTTCATCGGCAATGCAGGTAGATTCATTTATGGTTACTACTGATACCTGATTTTCAGTTTTGACTTTATCTGAATTTTCATTGTTGGTGCTTGTGTTATTAGTGTTGGAACTTACTGCTATCCTCAACTTATTTAAAACTGCGGCCAGTTTTAAGCTGTTGGGAAATAAATTTGGTAAAATAATTATTTATTGATCAATAGTCTACTGTTGATAACACAGAGAACAGTTTGCAAAGTAAAAAAATAAATGAAGATAACTTGAGATAAAATTATCGGATAAACAAACGCCAATGATCACAGCTTACTAATACGAATGTTTCCCCAAAGTGATCAAAAAGTGTAAAACTATTAAAACGATCAAAATGTTAAATTATTACAAAAAAATTTAAATGTAAATAAAATAAAAACAAATTCAAAATTACCTCTTCCCGAGACTACACTTGGACGCCATTTTTTAAGTTTTTCTAAAACAGAAAAAATAAATAACAGATTATCTTTAAAGATGTTCAGCGAGTTTATCCACCAAACATTTCGGTCTATTTCCTTCTTATATATATATACAATCTCCGTAACAAATTTATACAATTTCCGTAATAATTTTAGAATCTATGGCCAACAAATGTTTTACAATCTCTAATTAATTTTACAATCGCTAATTGATAAAAATTTTATTTGTAGCACACGTTTTTTATCTTGTTATATTATTATATACATTATATATTCATATATAGTTTATTATGAAAAATTAAAATATATTTGGTTTTTTCTACATTCTTATTAACGTTAAAAATTTCAGAAATTATATTTTATAAACATGCTACAATGTAAGCACTAAGCATATAAATTGTTGCCATATTAATGTCTTAAAAACATTTATTATCTTTACAACGTGTGTCTTCTTTCTTTCACGCGCCTTATTCTTTCAGCACATTGGCGACCATCGACATCCACAAAACCCGATCTTTAACACTATGTAGTAGTTGAAATGTGGTGATATTCAACAAGCGACACAAGGACTTCACGAATGTGATTCGTTGTTGACTGCGATCTCTTTTTCCTGCAATCTTTCCATTAGTTGTTAGATTTTCCATTCTTTTCTTCTGCATGATGTGACTTAAAAACTTTAACTGTCCCCATCGGATTATCTGTGGTAAATTTCCCTCTGTTTTAATGCGTCTGAGAGGTCTAACCCATTTTCATAATTCTTCTCGAAAACCCCATCTCAGCAGTGTTAATCTTTTGTTCCATTTATTTGGGAATTGTTCAGGACTCAGAGCAATAAGATAGCGAAGGAAAAATGTAACACCCCAACATCTATGCACGTAAAGTTACAATTCTAACGTTTATTTATCTATGTTAATCGCAATCTTTGTTTTGAATTATTGAGGAACGATTGAGTGCATCGAGTTCGTCAGTACATTTTTGTTTCTGATGGCACATAAGCGATTTACAGGGGGAGGCTAAATCAGCTTGTCTATATGAGACCCGAAAAAAGTACTAAATATTCATAAATATTCATGAAATAAATTGATTGAAACATAATCAAAATGAATAAAAATTTTAAATAATAAATGAATATTTAATAATAAACTATACAAATATAAAAATTGTAAAACTTAATAAGTTTGATGAATAATTGTTCATGAAAGCTATAGAATGAGACCTGACTTTTAAGCGCATTGATGATTTCTTGACTGTTATTTTCATTTTCATAAATATTTGGTGATGTATTGATAATATTGAGGATAAAATCAAGTTTCAAACATATATACATTTTTACACATCGTGTCAGCTATAACACTAGGTAACAAAAATAGAGTAAGTCGACACAATGAATGACTTGTGATTTATCTAATAATAAAAACAAATATGGAATAAAAATGTTCTCAGATGTTGAAAAATAAAAAAAATGACCATGAATGTGGAAGATAAAGCGAGCTTTTGTAAATTTAGATTCAATTGTGAAATATGAAAGGTTGCAAAATTTATCAGAAGGGAATCCGCTATGCTATGGTAAATAAGTAGTGATAAGATAACATGCAAAATATATGCATGATATTTGTTATCATTTTCATATTAATCATCAACCTCTTTTATCAAGTCCTAATCGTTTTAGTCATCATCATTTTACATCGTCTAATCATCGTTAATTTACGAATGCAGTAATCAGACCGCGTATTACTAAATCTACGGAATGACAAAAATTATTATTATTTATTCATGCAACATTTGGCTATTACTTGGATAAATTTATCATAATAATACTTTGTTGGATGATGTCGAAGAAGAGATTCTTCGACAAAGTTTTTGTTAAAATTGGCGAATAAAATACATTTTAAAATGAGACAGATGTTTACATGATGAAATATTTTATTCAATCAAAAAATAAATAAGGAAAATGTAAAAACCTTGACCACATTTATTTTTACAATTTTTTGTTTTTGTTTTTTTTGTAATGTTCACATACGAACTCGATAAAATTCTCTTCAAGGTTTAGGTAGGAAAACTTATACAAACTGAACAGAATACATTTTCGCATTGGATATCATTGAGTTGTAAAGTGTTTTACGTCATCATACATCACTACTACACAATCCTCCCTTTTCTTCCAATTGTCTGGTTGACCTTTGGCCCAATTATTTGCCATACATTTGACCCTAACATTTAAAAAAAATACTCTCGAAAGCATTGGTGTTTTTATTTTTCCTGCCGGACATCCTATATTGGTGTTTACCCCAAACCAAACAGTCATCTATAAAATAGATTTTGCGAAATATAAAAAATGTAAGAATGAATTATGCAAAAATACTTTAATGTCAAATAAGAAGATTTGCATAGAAATAATTCAAGATCAGTTTATCTTTTACGTTTAACGAAATAATTTTTACGAACTCATTTGGGAAATGTTTATACTACTGAGAAAAAATATCAATTTAAATTGGTTTTATTAATAGATTTAACATATGCGCAATGTAAAACTTTGGGGAATTTTACAAATAGAAAAAATGTAAGATAACCTCTATAGTATTTCTTCAAATATTCAGTCAGTCTAAACCAAAATTGTTGTTCCCAACCAAATGCTAATGTAGCATCAACAGCATGAGAGGCTTTCAAACTTGCATCCCATGATGCTTTTGTCGTATTGAAGTAGATGCAATAATAGTCTGTAAATTCTAACCGATATTTGATTTCAATGCTGACAAGGGATCAGGGCAAGCGCCTACAAGTTCATAAAATACATTTTCTTATCTAAACAAATTTTTATACAATTTTTATACATAAACTTTTATCAACGAACAGTGTTAATAATTTGTTATTTTTACATAGCAACATTTAATTGTTTAGTTATAACATGTTTCTTAATACAAAATTGTGACATATAAATGACAGACCTTCGGCAGTAGAACCAAAGAGGCCAACAAGATGCAGCGATGCTTGGAAGACAATTTGGATTTCACCCATATCTTTCGCTGAATCTTCTTTCTAAGTGTTGTGGTTGAAATTGAACAAAAAATTTATTATGAATTAAAAAAAACAAAGTATTGATAATTATTTCAAATATTTTGCTAAAATAAATAAATTATCAGAATATCTCAACATAAAAGTTAAAAAAGATACTGACACAGTTACATTTTGGAAAGAATAAAAGCTTGCATATCCTTTACTTTATGACGTAGCTTGTCAAATTTTATGCATACCAGCAACTTCATCTGCTAGTGAACGTGTCTTCAGCATTGCAGGTCGAATATTGGAGAACAGAAGAACTACATTATCAGCGATTTTTGAATAGTGTTAATAACTTATTATTTTTACATAGCAACATTTAATTGTTTAGTTATAACATGTTTCTTAATAAAAAAATTGTGACTGTTTATTTTGGTCTTATTTACATTTTTATAAGAAAAAATCGTGTTGTTGAACGGGAGAGAATGGGTGGGAAGTGGGTTGGAAATTGGAAATGAATTGTCAGTCTACATCTCTTCAATCTTTCTTTATATTGCTTATTATCCGGGTTGCCGTTTTTGAACTTTATTAAACGCTTTTTTTTATTTTTTTGCCAGTTATGACACCATGCCTGTATGCAGAGTTCCAATTTAGGTCGCAATAACGTTTAAAATAAATTCAATATTATTGATTTATCTCTGTTAACGATCTTTTTTCATCATGCCAAGTGTATTGTTTGCTCTTTTTTCTTCTGCTTCTATGCATTGCCTGGTAGGTTCCCCATGTCTGTCTACAATTATTCCAAGGTCAAAAATGGCATCTAAAATGCTTAATACGTTTTTTTCAATAATAAAATATATTAACTATATTTTTTAAAATATTAAATTTGCTAAAATTAATTTATAAAAAAAAATTAAAGTACCGGGAACGTTAAATTTTTTTTAAGTACCATGTGAGGGTTTATTTTCATAAAATAACTCAACCACAAAATTTTGCTAAGTTAAGTACACCATTTTTTCACAGTAATTCAACAACAAAGTTGTTTGTATTATGCAACAATAGGCGAATCCTGAAACAATTTTGTATTAGTCTAGCGTTTTTCAATTTATAATTGATTTTTTCAATTATTTGTACAACAAATAGCTCATTATTAAGCCTGTTAAGTTCCTGAACCAATTTTTCATGCAATTTTTTAGAATAATAAATACGTTAACACAAAACAACGTAAAAGCTTGTTATCTGCAACTATTTTTTTCATTTTGTCATCATTGTTGAATAAGGAATTTGTTTTTTGTATTTCTCTTTAATAAATATTTTAAGACTCGGTTTCTGTGCTTCATCATTAACTGCCATTGTTTTGCTTCTTACTTTCGTAAGTTAGAATTCCAATTTATTATTCCAATAGAATTCCAATAGCGTGTTACTGAATGTCTATTGCTGGTCGACTTTGTTTAACGACCAAAAAATTTGTAATTTTTATATTTTATGCTCATTAAACAAAGTCTTTCAGCAAAAAACATTCAGTAACACGCTATTGGATTTCTGCCGATTAACAAAGTAAGAAATAAAACAATGATGAAAATTCAGTAATAAATTTTATTATTTGTACGATATTCTCAACTCTAATTTTATAAATAAATAAAAAAATAAATGAGTATAAAAACAAATAAGTAAATAAATCAATAAATGAGCGGCATGATGGCTCATGTTTAAAGGCACCTGGTCTTGCTATTGTAATGACTGGGTTCGAATACAAAGAGATCAAATGAAATGTGTATGATGCGTCGTTTTACACGTATTCATTTACGCTCTGTGTGTTTGTTGTTGAAACCTCTGAAGCAAATGCAAAAAAGAGAGTAACCTTTAAATAAAAACTAAAAGTATGTATATTATAAATACAATATATAATCTTAACAGCGTTATTAATATTTAATAGATATGAAATCTAATATTTTTACGATTATAAACACCTGCCATTAAACTCGTAAATATAAAGTTAATAATATTATACACAAATAAAGAACATAAATTTTTACAACCGTGGACCATTTCTGTATCTATGGGTCCAATAGTTGACTTTGAGAAACATGTACATATGAATAGAACGTCTTCGGTTTTAGGCATTCGTTAGAAAATTTCCAACCAGAGCACACACGATTTTTTAAAATCATCTGTTCAGCGTTACAGAACTTTTTTTTATATCGATATTAACTTTTAGTTGTAAGCTGTAAATATTTGAAATGGCGACTACCGTGTCGAGTCATATTTCGAACGATTTGGATGCCGATAATGAGGATTCCTGGCTCTACGGATTAGGTAAATTTTTTAATACAATTTAATTTTTTGTGAGTTGGATCGTCTGTTGTAAACTGCTCAAATTTTTTAGTCGGCCATAGCAGTAGATGTTGTATTAATATTTTGTATGCAGAGATTGTAATGTAATGTACGGTACATTTATTTTTACTGGCAGTGTATATTTTTATTCTATTTGTTATTATTGAATAATTGTGATCCAATGTTTTAAAGTTATGAATCATATATTTCAATTTTGTTTTTCAGATCAGGACAAAACTAAAGGTGGGCAAGAAGAAGGAATTTTATTAAGGTGGGTTCCTAAATTTTTTTGAAATTTTTTGAGTTTACTGATCAAGTTTACTGATATCTTAATGATTTAATACTAAAGATTAAACAGATGGTATAAAAATATTCATTAATTTGATTAAAATATTGTAAACAATTTAAGTTTGATGAGGGTTTTTCCCTAGATAATTAATATTAAATAGTATGACCTAGTGTCCTAATCATTTAAAATCCATGGTTGATTTCCATAATTTGATTAATTTCTTTTCATTAACTAGATAAATCTGAATATAAAATATAATTGAAAATATTTAATTTTTCCAACAGTGAAAACAAGCCAACTGCCAGCAATGATTTGAAAAAAGATCCTAAATGTGAAGTAGCAGAGGTAATCATTTTTTTTCTCAGTAATTTTTTGGGTCCATTGTTGTATAATGATTTAAGACAAATTTTTTGATTTAAAATTTCTAAATATTGTACATATTAATTTAATTGTTTGAAAGTTAAGTTTGAAAAGCATCATCTGAAAAGCAAAAATTATAAGTAAATACTTTGATAATTTTCAACAGCCAGAGTTGACAAATTCAGATACCTTGGCTGACCTGCCAATGAAAGAAAATGATGATAGTTCCACCACCAACAACAACACCACCACCACTAACATCACCACCATAAACTCTAATGATACCAGCAACCACGATGTTGGTGGTGTGGCAGCGGATGCCGACGTAGCAGATGTTAGTATTTCCAAGGAACAGAATGGGGGTAGTGACGATGGAATTAATTCAGAGGATGACGATGAGGATGATGGGGTTCAGGTCACCATTGAAGATATCAAACTGCAGGTGTTCGAGTGAGTTCACCTTTTGAAATTTATTCATCACCGGTGTCATCATCATTTAAATCATCATTATTATTGTTATAATTGCATTATTCAAATCATTACATTAAGGTAGTTATTTTGCGTATAACATAATTTAAGCATTGTATAATATAAGCCTACACTAATGTTTATATGTTAACTTCTGCCATTAACTTCCATCAATGTTTATTAAATGTTAATTTCAATTTTTTCTACCACAGTCCAGCCATTCCTTTCAAAGGACCATACCAAAGACAGGGCTCTCAAGGTTTGTTCTTTTTGGTTTTTTGTTCTATTGTGGATTGTAATTATTGATACTCAATTAAACTTTTCGTGGTTGAAGATGTTTAGTTGAAGGAATGAATGTGTAAATATGAATGAATGAATATGTATGAATATGCATGAAAGAATGAAGTTAGAAGTTGATCATAATGATTGATCAAGTCATTGGGAAAGACCAAATCCCAATACTTTTGAGTTCATATCCACACATATACATAAACTCTTGCATGAAATGCATTCACTGACATGTCTAATTTTCACACGAAATATAAAATTTTAAAATCCAGAATATCAAAATTTATAAATAAAAGGAAAAATTGTGGATTTAACAAAGTTATTATAAACCTTTAATTGTAATAACTTGCAGGTATGACGAATGGTCCGCAAATGATGGCGGCAGGTGTTGTGCCATCCTCATCACTCTCTACCAAGCCCATGATGATGAAAGGAGTGGATTTGGATGCCGTCGGGACTGTCAATGGGGTCTCTGTGTACGAGTTCGACCTCGAGTCCATCAAGATTGAGGACAAGCCCTGGAGGAAGCCAGGTTGGTTGGCTGGTTGATTTGTGGGTTGGCTGGTTGATTGGTTGGTTGGCTGGTTGATTGATTGGTTGATTAGCTAGTTGTTTGGCTGGTTAATTAATTTTATGATTGGTTTTTTTTTGCTTATTAGTTTCCTATTATTTGATTGGTTGGTTACTCAATAGAAAATGTTATTGTTTCACACATTATTTTCATAAAACAACTGCAACATTACTCAAACATTAACAACAATAAACAACATTACAATTCACAATAACATTATGTAACGACAGGAGCCGATCTAACTGACTACTTCAACTACGGGTTCACTGAAGACACCTGGATGAAGTACTGCGAGAGGCAGAGGAGAATGAGGATTGAGAACAACTGCAAGACTGGACTCTTTCAGTCGGTTGAAACTCTATCCAATATTACCCCAATTGGTATGTTGTTGTTGTTGCTGCAGTTGTTGTTGTTATTGTTGCTGTTGTTGTCGTTGTTGTTATTGTTGTTGTTGCTGTTGTCTAGAAGTTACTGTTACCATGTACTTTGTGCCATATTTTTTTTTGGTGTCTTTTACTTTGTGTGGTGGTGCAATAATTTGTTGTTGAGTTGTCTGTGTTGGTACTTGGTTATGTAATTTTACGGTGCTGATAGCATTGGTGTGTACTGTTTTTTTTAATTGAGGATTCTGCAACTTGATGTCATTGAATTATTTTTGCTTGCGTGAAACAGACGCCAGCACGTATCTTGGTCAGACCAGGAAGGGCCAACAACTCACGAATCTAGTACAACAACAGCAGCAGCTACCACCTCAACAACTACCAATGAAATCAAGCGGCGTTATTGACGTGATTGGCGGCTCTGTGAGGGATTCAAGGAGACCTCAGCAGCAGCCTCCGCAACAGCCTCAGCAACCGCTGCAGCAACAATCGTTGCAACAGCAACCAACACAACAACAGGACTTTGTTGTTGCCGCTAGGTATTTACTTGTTGCATATTAACTCATTATTTTTCTTCTCTTCTTTTTTTATGTTTTTTCATTTTATTTTTCTTACATGGCAATCATTACATTCATGAGTAAATCAACAAGGAGACTAATAAACAATTCCAAATTACAGTCAGGCAGGTTCAGCAATGATGCCACAAATCATGACAGTGCCTCCACCGATGCTCACCATGCCTCCTCCAGATTTCAACCTACCCCCTCCGACGGCTTTGCCGCCCCCTATGGCACCTCCCCCTCATGGTTTGTTGGCTTTTGTTTTTAGAGCGTATAAATGTATACAAATAATTATTAATAATAATAATGTACATATGTATTCACTAAACGTTCATGTACTAACATATGTAACACTAATATGTACACACAGGAATGCTTGCACACCCTCCGATCCTGGTGGCTCCTCCCAATTTTGTTCACCCGCCAATGGCAGGACAGTATGGTAAGTTGATTGACCTCCATTGCTTTATAGATCTGTCTACGTTTTTTTGAGTTATTTTTGCTGGATTATGTGTAATTTAGAAATTAGTTTGGGTGTTATTATGTTATTAATAACTTAATATATATGTAGGATGAAGTTAATTGGTTATTTTTTCAAGTTGCACGTTGTTCAAGTTGTTAAAATTATGAGATTGGCTGACTGATCTGTCAAATTGTTTTTTTTTCTAATAATAAGAAACATCATTGTGGATCAATGGTGTTCTAAAACAAAAAGCTTTATCACGTATTGTAACTTTAAATTTTTAAATATTTAGTATGCAATTATGAAGAAGTGTTTGTAACGAGGAACGAACTTAACAATATGGATTCAGCAGACTTCTATCGGCCTCAGATGATTGGAGGTCCGCCACCGTCTTCCTCGACCAATCACAATCTAGATAGGCGGGGCTTAGTTGCCTTTCCTGAACGTCCGACATTCCGATTGGATAATCCTTACGCCCAACCGCCTCCGCATCACTTCCAGATACCTGCAGGAATGCCCCCTCCCACCCATTGGTTGGTTGTCGATTTGTTTTATCTGTTGAGTTTCATTTTTTCTAAAGATTCTCAATAGTTTGTAGATGTTATTCAAATGTATTTTCTTCATGTCTCACTTTAACTTTCTTTCATGGTTTCTATCTTGAATCCTCATTTAATTAATAACAAGATGGTCGAAATATAGACGGTAAACTGTAAATTTACTTACGAATATGCACTCTCACATTTAACGAACATTTCTGCTTCTTTTGTATAATTTTTCATAAGTAGCTTCTTCATCAGGGAGGATTATTACCTAAAAAAAACATTGCATCACATCACCTCTATACACAGTAACAAATAAAACAACACTGCACAACAAACACGCCATAACACAACACCACACACACCACATAACGCATTCCGACTCAACTTACGACACCACAGCGCGACAACACACACCGCGCCTATACTCGACACACGACACAACAACATACACGCCACACCAACCACACCACAGGAAGACACCGGCTGGACACATGGATGGCCACATGATGAACAGTCGACCGCAGATGAGTGAACGCAACTGGGCCAGGAGCAGCCCACGCAAGAGGTCACATGACTCGGACATCAGCAGGTTATTATTATTATTATTATTATTATCATTACTACCATTATTATTATTATTATTATTATTATTATTATTATTATTATTATTATTATTATTATTATTATTATTATTGCTGTTAGTATATTATTAATGATGATGTAATGGTTGATAAAGTTAGTCTAATGAATTATTTACTTCACAGCAGTTCCAGTGATGAGTCTGTCAAGAAGCTGAAAGAAGGCACCGAGCCGTCTGAGAAGTTAGTGTTTGGCGTTTCGCCAGATGACATTTCATTTAAATTCATTCCTCTCCACTACTGTCAAATGATGTTCATTCATCATATCATATTATTCCTTTTTTCAAAAATTAACTATTAAGTGAAGTAAATATTAACTTACCGTGGTCAGGCGTCGATGGCTTTGGATATTTTTGTTAAAGTTTTGGGTAGAATTTTGTGAAATCTCTGTATACCTTTTGATTTTGATAGGTTAGACCTCATACAACATATTTTATTAATATATATATATAAAAATATGTTGTAGAGGCCCTCAAAATATAACTTTATATAATTTATGGCTACACCACAGCGTATTTATTATTATTAGTGTTATTATTATTATTATTAATATTCTGAATAGTCATTAAAAAAACTGCAAACTACTTAAAAAGTACTTAAATATAAAGTTAGCCATCACTCACAATAACCTTCTAATTGACACTGACCAATCAAGTTACTCATTCTACAACCACTCAACCAATCACCGCAGGGACAGCAGACCGCCCACTGAGAAGACTCAGCCCAACTCGGCGTCATCCCAAATCCCGCCGTCGTCTTCAGCGTCGTCACGTGCAGAGTCGCGCCACAGGTCACGTGACCGATCGCGTCTGCGTGACTACGATCGCGATTACGATCGCAGACGGGCGGCCGATTACGATCGTTCTCGCCACCACCACCATCGCCACCATTATTACAGGAGCAGCAGGGATGATGATTATGACGATAGGAGGAAGTACTCCAGCAGAAGGTTGGTTGATTGATTTATTGATTGGTTGGTTGGTTGGTTGGTTTAATGAATGGTCGATTGATTTATCACATGATTGTATGATTGTTGCAATCAAAGTTATTGGTTGATTGAGTGATTGATTACTTGATTAATTGGTTGGTTGAATGATTGAGATTCTAGGTGACTGAATGATTTATTTGTT